GGGGGATCTAGTGGCCTGTTACAAACTAGTCAGAGGGGACCAGCAGGCATTGGGGGAGTCCCTGTTCCCCTGAGCACTGCCAGGAATGACTAGAAATAACGGTCACAAGCTGGCAGAGGGTAGATTCAGACTGGACAACAGGAGACACTACTTCACTGTCAGGGTGGCTAGGATCTGGAACCAACTTCCAAGCGAAGTGGTGCTGGCTTCTACCCTGGGGGTGTTTAAGAGAAGGCTGGATGAACACCTTGCTGGGGTCATCTAACCCCAGCACTCATTCCTGCCATGGTAGGGCGTTGGACTTGATCTGCTCAGGTCCCTTCTGACTCTACCAACTGTGAAATTATGAAACATTAAAGGAGTGCACTGATTTTTTTTGCATTTACCTTGAATAAAAGGTGACTGCCACACCCACTGGGTTCCTTAACGTTTTTTCCCCAGTCCTGCAGCAGAACAGTATGATCTGACCTCCATTTCTGATTATATGTAAAAATGGATGTAGCCTCCTTTTTTAAGGCTCTGTGTCTAATTTTATGTTGGTTCTTGCCCTTCATGATAGTATCTGAGAAACTTGCCTTAAAATGACCAGTGTAGTACTTAAGCCATTCTTTGACCTTTTGCCCTGTGTATATACATTTACATCACCAATAAAACATTCACAGAAGGTGTCTGTGAAGTGCAGTAACTTTATAGTCTGTAGCTTTAGGCCACTCTATATGTTAAGTACATAACTAAGCAGGAAAAAAATATCCTGGTTTGGTACTGACAGAAAGTAGGCAGGTTTTAAAAGTGTGAGAAGAAAAATGGTGACAGGGGCTTTGATAATACAAATGCATATCTGAAAAATTAATCCTCACAAGCAAGTCTCTTCCTGCAAAATTATATTAGTGTAATACCAGTAGTTAGAGGACCCATGATCAATTGTAGAGGTTTCATTTTTGTAAGATTTTAAAGCCAGATTGTTATTCAGTAGAAGCAGGCTTGATGTACCTTTGGAAAAACTCAGTTCTGTGTCCTTCCTCTTCACTCTCACCCCGCTTACTTTGCATCAAGTAAATTACACAATTTAAGGAATGGAAATATCTTAAGCATCATTACATGCTAAGTAAATGACGTGCTTCATATTAGAATTACAAAGGTGCTATCATTTGAATTTGCGCTACAGAAGAATATGTGTGAAACTGCCAAACCATTTAAAGTATCCAATAAAAATGGTCTTCAAAGCTTTCTCTGGTTTTGGATGATTGATTAAAATTCAAAATACTAAGCAGTAGGATGTTTAGGTTAGCTGTCAAGGATAGAGTCACATCAGGGTGAAGTCATAAAGGCAAGCCTCCTTCCTTGTGTATATTCTGGTATTCAGTTTTTTGGGGGGTGGTTGTTTGGTTTGGTTTTTTTAGGGGCGGGGTGTTGGAGGGATTTCCTTTTCCTCTTCCACAAGAACTCAATGATGCTTCAGTAATTCCCCCCAAATGAAGGTCCTTAGCCTCAGGAAGAGAAAAATGGGCATAATCTATTTGTATGAGCACATTAGCCTCTGAAGCATTCAGTGTGGAGCACTTGATTTAGTGCAGAGTCAAATTAAAATGAGAGGATGCTAACATTTCATCATAGGCGACTGGTGGGGGGACACGGGGGGCACATGCCCCCTCAATATTGGCCCCCAACTCAGCACCGCTCAGGTCAGGGCAGTCTTTTTGCCTTGTTGCGGGGAGGAGGGGGCATTAAGCTGCGGCCT